TCGTGGAATGTGCAAGAGGTATCCTTCGCCGGTAGCAATCCTCGAGGGGTCCAACTTTGACATCCTAAGTCTGGTTCCCCAAACAGATGGGTGTGGGTCAAAAACAGGTACCCAAATGGAACCCTGGTAAATGGAAACAAAAACTAAAACCTGCGGTCCATTGGTGGTTTAATTTTGACCCATGCCCAGATCCAAATAGACATGGGACCCTTTGCAGGTGCGGCTCTAATCACCACGTCCTCTGCACCAAAGAATCCAATGTCCGATTGACCCGGATTTACCCCCTCCCACGGCTCCTGCAACCGCTGGCGTTTGCCTGCAGGCTCCTGGAGATGTAAGAAGATACCCTGTAGATTGTCCACAAGAGGAACTGCAAATGATTGAAATGTGTGTGTTTTTTGCGGTTTCCAGCAAAGGGTCCTCCAGTTTGGCACAATGTCCCATCATGTCACTGCCAACATGCTGCCAAGATCTCTGGGCACAGCCGTTTCAAGCCCCACACTTCTCTATCGGGCCATCGGGAAGTTTTCGAGGACACTCTTCATTTACAAATAGAACGGTTGCTAACAAATTCTTTGCCAACAAGGGGACAGTGACACACTCGAAATCTCTCGAAAAGCTGCGCCAAGAGCAAACAGTCAGTGCAGCAAACAGTCAGTGCAAAACGTTTCAAGACCCCGAAACGAAATGCACTGCATGGAAGTCAAAGCCGGTCAGGGCATGTGACAAATGGGATGCAACAAGCCAAACGTGCCTCTCCTGGCGCTCACCCGGGAAACACAAGTGTGAAGGATCAAGGAAGAGCCTCGAATTCAGCCCTGCAAATTTCAAAGCCCACTAGGACATGCATTGGACAGAATGTCATCCTAGCATTTCGTGCAAGGAAACAGAAAGGATTAGGTTGACTAGACGTATCATCAAAGGCCACAAGTAGTTGCATAAACATTGTGTAACAAACTGCTGAAAGTTCAACAAGTTTGCTCTGGTTTGTGTGCTTTCTTGGTTAGCTCTTTGCCTCGCTGACTGGCTGGTTGGTTTGTTTGGATGGTTTAGAGTTCTTGTGGAACAGCCATGTATCTTTCATCCAGTCCAATACATTAAGGTTGTGTTCTAGTCGATGAACAGCCAGCGCGCCTCTGCCTCAGGAAGGTTACCCGCCTGACAGATCAATCACCAAGCCATGGAAGAATCCTGGAATAGACACAAACTGTGGATGGACCAAAACCAACTGCAGGATTTCGCCCGGTTCGAACAGACCTCCCTCTGAAACGTGGACTGGTCTCACAACAGTCTGCATGGACGCTTAAGCAGCTTGATCGAGCCTAGCGATGGCTTGAGATAGATACGCAAACAGCGTACTTGGATATGTGTCAAGTCTGGGGACCGTGTGGGACGGCTTGAACAAAAGACAAACACAAAAATCATTCCGTGTGGAAGACCCACTTTGACGCACGCACGCACGCACGCAAAGACACACACACAGACACCAACGCACACACACACAGACAAGCAGAGACACACGCTCACAAACACACACACACAAACACACAAACACACAAACACACAAACACACAAACACACAAACACACAAACACACAAACACACAAACACACAAACACACAAACACACAAACACACAAACACACAAACACACAAACACACACAACACACAAACACACACACACACACAAACACACAAACACACAAACACACAAACACACAAACACACAAACACACAAACACACAAACACACAAACACACAAACACACAAACACACAAACACACAAACACACAAACACACAAACACACAAACACACAAACACACAAACACACAAACACACAAACACACAAACACACAAACACACAAACACACAAACACACAAACACACAAACACACAAACACACAAACACACAAACACACAAACACACAAACACACAAACACACAAACACACAAACACACAAACACACAAACACACAAACACACAAACACACAAACACACAAACACACAAACACACAAACACACAAACACACAAACACACAAACACACAAACACACAAACACACAAACACACAAACACACAAACACACAAACACACAAACACACAAACACACAAACACACAAACACACAAACACACAAACACACAAACACACAAACACACAAACACACAAACACACAAACACACAAACACACAAACACACAAACACACAAACACACAAACACACAAACACACAAACACACAAACACACAAACACACAAACACACAAACACACAAACACACAAACACACAAACACACAAACACACAAACACACAAACACACAAACACACAAACACACAAACACACAAACACACAAACACACAAACACACAAACACACAAACACACAAACACACAAACACACAAACACACAAACACACAAACACACAAACACACACACAAACACACAAACACACAAACACACAAACACACAAACACACAAACACACAAAAACACACAAACACACAAACACACAAACACACAAACACACAAACACACAAACACACAAACACACAAACACACAAACACACAAACACACAAACGCACAAACACACAAACACACAAACAAACACACACACAGAGAGACAGAGCTAGACTTGATAGACTCCACCATCTTGGAATCTGGTTTTCCCATAAGATGGTTCACTTCAAGAGGAAAAGCACCAAGATTTTGAGCCTCGGCGCCTTCCCTCCAATGGCCTGTTGGCCCGACGAGACCAAAGGAGGGTGCCCTTGTGTGGCAGCTCGAGAGGGCTTCTCCAAAAACCCAAGTAGAAATTTGTTCCTTGAAGGAAGCCTTTCACACAATTTCTACCAGTGTTTTGGTAACCCCAACTACAGAACTGATTTGCTGAAGAACTGCTCGTAAACTGAATCGGCGTGCGTGCACCAGCAAGTTGGTCAAGCCAGGAAACCGTAACCCCCCCAAAGCCCGGATATTTCACGTGCCTGGCCGAAGCCCCACATCTCGCCTGCGGCTCAAGGAATGGGTGACGTCTGGGTTTCCCTAACCTGACGCCCGAACTAAGCCACGGGGGCCCGGTGTTCGGATCGCTGTCCAGACGGGTGTCTTTGGGTCATCGAGCGATCGTGGAGTCTGAGGGCTCATTCAGCTCTTGGGACGGGATAATCGCTCTTTGGGGTGTGAATGCCACATGATATCACATGATAGATGTCTGCAAATTCAAAGGCCGGAAAAAGCCACAAGAGCAAGGCTTGGCTGGGTGTCGGACCTGGTCTTTGGGAACACGTGAGGCAAGTTTGTACAAATGTCGTCGGACTCCCCCCTGGCCAGTTTGTAGAAACAAGCAGCATGTGACATGCATAATGCATGCATAGCCATATATGGCCCATGTCTGTATGATACGCACTTGCGCATGTAGAGCTTGTTAAGACACCATTGATCGGATGGTTCGTGACTTCAGCCGAACTTGACAAGGCAACTGCACTCGGGAACCGAGTAGCGCATCCTAATCATTGCGACTTCAAAGTAACAAACAACTCACTGCGACTGCTTCCCAGCTGGCACCTTCACTCGTCCCTTTGGACACACTGCTCGAAGAAGCGCAACTTGAGATGCTTCCTTTGTGGGATCACACCATGGCTTCTTTCGACATCCCAAAATGACGAATTACGTGATGAATTACGTGGCTTTGCAGCAACTCCCAAATCGACAAGGCACAACACCCTGCAAAGTGTTCAACTTGTTGTTCTCCCTTCACTTTACCCAATCACGGAAGTGGACACTCGCCATTTCATGAGGATGGCAGTCTTGCAAAACCCCTCTATTGGCCTCCATTGGAAAAAGAGGTATGCCATATGCCTCCCATGTTTATATGGTTGTGGCTCAAAAAGATGGTACCAAAACGGCACCTTGGCAAATAAAACAAAAGATTAAAACCTGTGCAACCCTAGCTCTTTAATTTTGAGCCACACCCATATTGGGTTTTGGCCCTCGGGTTGATTCACCGAAGCGGCCCATGCTCCTTGCCTGGGGAGCGCCAGGCAGGGCATGGGGAAAATGGCGGCACAGCCGAATTGGCTGCGGGATGAGAGGTGAAAAACATGGAGACAACTGATCAGCCTTATCAGCCAGGGATGTGGGTGTCTTTTATTTAGGGGACTCCCCCCGGTGTTCCTTTTCGTTTCCCTTAGAACCGTCCAAAAAGGTGTACCCTCCAAAAGGACACACCTATGTAGCTCTGAGATCATCCTTTTTGTGGTGCCCCAACACCGGTTGATTCATGCACACCGGCTCCCCAACAATCCCGACAAAACAACCCTTGCACAAAGCCAAGCCACAGATTTTGAGGTGACAGCTTCTGACGTTGTACTTGGATCTGAGATTCCGAAATTGCAGCTTCATGCAGGCGTCAGTTTCACCATGGTTCACCATCGATGGTACAACTCTTCCAGCACAACCTGAAACCTAAAAAAACATACAACACTTTACTGAGGACGCCTTAGTCCCTTCCCATGTCAAGGCTCTGACAAGCCGTGCGGACCTTGTACCCTTGCGCTACTGCCAATTGACTCATTGGTCCTTCCCCGCCTACCCCCGTTCTTCTATCGGCATGCAGTGGATGAATATGCAATCGCCTGTTTTAGCTGAGTGAGTGTAGGGCCGATCCTTGACTTTTCAGGTAATTCATTGTCGCGCTTAATAGATACATATATATATATATATATACGCACATATAGACACGATAAGCTCAGGTAGATAACACAAGAAGCCTTCACAGCAGCCACAAGGCAACTCACCAACCTGTCGCGATCAACACTCATCCTGCTCCAACAATCTTTGATAGATTTTACTCACTGCTACTATGACTCACACATTGAAAAAGACATCCCAAAGTAACGAGCTTCCATGATGGGTGAGCTCGTCTTGCCACGCGAGCTCGTTGATTGCAATTTACCCCTACCCTCACTCACATGGCAGGCGTAAAACAGAGGCGGGCAGACAAAGCACGGCGTTGAAGCCTCAGGCGGAATGCCAGTTTCATGGATGAGCCGCGAGAATTTGTCAGGTTCCTTGGGTCACTTGTGGAAATGGCAACAGTCCCTAACGCTTGTCACGGCGGAATGTCCTATCAGCTGGGCTTCGAAGTTCAAGTGACAACGGGACTGCATTGCCTTCCTTGGCCCACGTGGCACGACCAAGACATGCCAAAAGACGTAAAGCTGCTCAAACTGGCGATATGCAAGACCTCTGCTCCATCTACATTATTTGGTATTTGTCAATAGTAGGGACCTCTTTTGGCTTTGCTTTATGGTGTCTCAAAATAGAGACACCCCCATTTGGAGAGAAGCCCCACTTTTGACTTGTGCTACATCTTGAACCCAGCTCTTTACTACGTAGGGCGATAGGACCCTTCCTAGGAGAAGCTCAATGCCTCCGGTCACACAACCCATGTTGTTGCGCAAAACCAAGAAAGTAATCATTCAAAAATCGAGGGGGCACCCCACCCCTTCCATCCTTCTCTTCGTTGCTGCGCAAAAACACACACAACAAAATCAAACATGGGGGTGTCAAGATGATCGTCTCCTGTTTCCCCCCTTTTCGGGCAAAAAACTGGCCCATCGCCACTCAGCAAGATACACTGTGCATCGTGAAGACGGCGATCCAGCATGGTCTCCATCAGCTTGATGCTGGATCTGACAGCGAGTTCGAAAGATCTTTTCTCAGAGGATAAATCTCACGATTCTATGCAACAAACAGATTCTTCACTCAGTGAACAGCAAATATGTTGCTAAGCCACTATGTCCTGAACCATGTTGTACCCTCACACTCTAAGACCAACTGTTGGTTTTAGTGTTCCCAGCTTCCCGTGTTGTGTAGGGACTAAACCTGCACATCGACGCCCAAAAAACGGTCCCTCATCCACATCCTGTAAAGGACTGAACGTGTGTCTGTGGGAACGGCAAACTCTTCGAGCGTCATCATCCCGACCACCGGCTACACATTACTGGAAAGTGGCTTTTAAACATCACCTGTTTGACTTGAGCAAACGAACTTGCGCCTGGTGTCGCCTGCCCGGGCAAAGCCGCACACGACAGGCCTGCCGCACTTGGTATGGCTCGTGCTAAGCAGTCGCAAAAATATTTGAATGCTCCGCTCAGATTTATGCGAGACTGGCTGAACCAGATACATGCCCACGCGTAGAGACACAGCTTTTTGTGGTGCTGATTCTGAAAACAGGCGTGACAGGTGGATTGAATTAGCTTGGCGTGTTCGCTCAACAACCTGCTAAGACCGAATGTCCAGGCCTCTATCAGAAAGACTTTGCAGCGAATTATGGTCTGCGAGAACTCCAAAACTAGAGGCACTGAGAAGCACTTGCTGCATGTGGCAGGGGGACAGCCACCACAGCTCTTGTCTTTTTAGAGAACCTCTAGGTTGCACCTCGAGGCACTGCTGGCACTGGAATTGGTGTACAGAGCTTGCTCCGTGTCGAACACCCATATCTCCGAGACTTTTGTTTGCCTGGTGGTGTTCGAATGACCTAGTAACAACTTGCGTTGTTTCTCCGAGAAGTCCAGACCGCAGACTGTGCAGTCCTGAAAGGCTGAAACATGGTATTCTCCGCGGACAGCTTTGGTAGGTCTGAGTTTGATGGGTTGGACCCTTTTGTGGACATCATTTACCATGGCAACTGGTCCACAGGGCCTGCACAGGTCAAGTTCATAGTGAAAGCCGTGTTTGTCCACAGCGTTTTACCAGCTGAACAACACTAACACACCATGATCAAGATTCTGGGAGCTCGACCTTTCAGGATATAGCGGGAACTGTCTGTCAACGCGTAGCTGATTGACATGGAATCCAACATGGAGGTCCCCAGAAAGGAAGCTCTTCCAAATACGAATATTTGATGTGTTCCATGTTGATGTGCAGGAGGGCATTTTTGTGTTTGCCTCCTTTCCCTGAGTGCTTTACTCTCCCCCCCAAAGAAAACCACTCAACCACCTAAAGTCATATATGATGTCGCCTGTAGCAGCCTGCATCTGGCTCCAGCGCCTGCGCAACGGGGGAAAACCCCACGAGTTTTGTTTTGTGGGTACCCTTCTTTTTTTTGAGGGTACCCTTTTTTGTTCGGGGTAACCTCTCACCTATGGAACATGATCGGGGTTCCTGACAGACCGTTTTCCTCTTGTTGAGACAAAAATGCCGAGCGGGAGGGACAGTTCCACAGGGAACTGAGGTAACTAGCTGACCAGCACCCTCAACATATCCATCAAACAAACGCCGTGGATTTGAATCTGCCCTATGCTTGCGATTGGCAAGCATGCATGCGGGAATGCACCACAACCAGTTGGGCGCCTCATGCTTGGCAACATGACCGTGCCCTATATGAAAGGTCAAACACATAGTTTCCGACGTGATAGATATGTATACATTTATATATATATATGCCTACATCACACACTCATAGTGAATATCCTTCCTCTCTCCGGTCTATCATCTGTGGCCTAGATATTTAAACTTCCGGGGCGCGGGCTTGGAATGATGTGCGAAGCGTATCCTAAGACGAGCGAGTCCTGTCCATACTTCTCTTCGCTTTAGGCATACGAAAACACTTCCATTGAAAACTGTGCCAAATGCAAGCTAGCACCAACCAAACCAGCATTTATTTCCTGCTCTGTATCTCTCTCTCTATCTATCTCTTTCTCTCTATCTCTCAATAAGTTTAGGTAGGTTGGGCACACCGCAAACACGGCCGCTGTGAGCTAGATTCCTGCGTGACACAATTACCTGATTCAAAACAAACAGCTTGCAACCCGCGTCTTGGATTGAACAAGACCAGAGCTATTTGTTGCTTTCCGAATTATATTCAGGGCCCCCCATTGACCCGGGTGTTCAAAGGGAAGCCTTCCAGGATCTGAAGTCACCACCAGCTTTTGAACTCCAGTCCCTGAAGTTGCCCAAGTGCAATGCGGCGAGTGGAGCAGAAAAACCAAAATCACAACGAGGCGCTGTGCTAGCTAACATTCGCCCAGAGTGTTTGATATGCAGAACAATACACATCAATGTGCAGACAAGCATATACGTATACACTCATGTGATACGTGAAAAATGTGTTGGACACCCCCCGAACCAGATGCTGACAGCTTCGATCATAAGCCGAATCTCAATCTCTGCGCCTGGGTGATCATTTCCTCCAGGCACCTGTCAAGCTATCGGAGGAAAAGGCATACTTCTGGGTGGCCGAAACTGGGTGCCAAGTAGGTCTGGAGAAATCAACAAATCCATGTCTGTTGGGTTTTCTTTGGAGGAAACTGACAATTAGGGGCTTCTTGGCATCCACAAAAAAAGGAAAGCAAACCAATGTACACCAAAGCCAAAAAAGCGGTGCCGGTGTTTGGACATAGTCACATGCCATGCCGACACGAACCAAATTAAGACAGGAACCAGTGTGCGCGGTGTCTATCAATTCCTTCGTTCCTTCGTTCCTTCGTTCCTTCGTTCCTTCGTTCCTTCGTTCCTTCGTTCCTTCCTTCCTTCCCTCCTTCCCTCCTTCCCTCCTTCCCGCCTTCCCTCCTTCCCTCCTTCCCTCCTTCCCTCCTTCCCTCCTTCCCTCCTTCCCTCCTTCCCTCCTTCCCTCCTTCCCTCCTTCCCTCCTTCCCTCATGGATGGTTGAAAAACAAACTCAGAAAGCAACCCGTGCAAGAACTTGCTTCCACGTGTTCGCCAAAGTCAAACAAGGCCTTCTTGAAACGGTACATCCTTGCTGCATCTAGCTGCATCAAGAAAGTTCACTTTGCTTCTTGCAAACTGATACGAGATACTCCTAGGAACCGCTGTGCCTCATGGCAACAATGGAATAATAACATGTAGCAGCAAACATAAACGCACGTGCACGTGACCCAGCAAGATGACTCCATGCACACTCATTCCATTTCGAATGGATATGGGGCACGGCCAATCAGGGAAAAACCTCGCAGACTGCCAATACTTTCAAGGGCCGGCAAAGCGGGTGGACACCGACATCCGTGTCTGGTTTGTGCATGGCAAAGCGTCATGGATCCATTAGCTCTAAGTGCGAACACACTGCTTAGACATCTGTGACAAAACTTTTAAAAGGGTTCCTTTTACTTGCGCTTGGGAATGAAGCGGAAGCGGATTCCTTTCAAGGACACCGAATCGGGGATTGCTTTTCTCGGGGGCATTCCATGAATCGTTCCCCTATCGAACCAGCAGGTTTAGTAAGCTTTGAGGGCGAACCCCGCCGGCCTCTGGGCGCCCTCTGCCCGCGAGATAGGGAGAGACCAGTCGGTGTTCGCCTGGCGGGATCACTCGCCTCTCTACACAGGGATCTGTCCTTCGAAACCAGGCAAAATCCAAGCAGAAAACGGCAGGTTTTTGAGTAGAACCGTCTTTCACCAGCCAAAAGCCCAGCAGAAAGGTCTTTGAAAAGAACCATGGCTGAAAAGAATAGGGGAATCAACAACCCCAAGCGCTCTAGGGCTGGGGGCACTTCCGCCGTTCGCTTCCAATCTCCATGCTGAATGCCCCGGACTCTCGGTGAGTTTTTCGCGCTCCCCGCCGTTGGTCCTCCAGTAGAGGTTGGTTAGAAGAAGTCGGTCCCCGAGGTTTTTCTGCTTGTACCCGCGCTCAAAGTCCGCCAAACAGGAAACAGGGGAACCCTCCCAGCCAAAAAAGGGGAGAGACAGGGCACCTAGCCGAGGGACCTAGCCGCTTTCTCCCGCCACAACTATCCAAAGGCAGCAACAAGTTGTTGGCTCATCGTCCATGGGAAGCTCCCTCGCCTTACCCTCAAACTGCTTCGAGCGAAAAAGCTTCCCCAGTGGGCGAACTTCTGGAAGGAGGGATGCCTTTCTGAAAGCTTGACCTGCAACCTCTCCAGGATTGAACAATCCAGCTTCGCCTTTCCCTTAAAGAGCTTATAAAGAGGATGCCCTCGAAAACAAACACACCCGCATGGGTTGTTAAAAGTTGCAATGGGTCGGGGTCTTTTCAGGATTTGTCCATTCTCATCAACGCAAATTTCGGTCTTTGGTAGCAGGCTCATTCCTTCTAGATGCGTATGATCCTCCAGTTCAATCCAAAGTCTGCACTTCTCAAACTCCCCAATGCTTGGCCAACGGCTTTGCGGCTGATGGCGCTGTCTCCGGCTATTCGCTTTCAATGGCCGCTTAGTCACAGGGTGAGAGCAAACAAAACGGGTGCAGTATGCACAAGGAGAAGAAGCAAAGCGCTCGGCACGTCTGACATGACACCACACACACACACACCACGCACACACCACGCACACACACCAGGAACACACCACGCACAACACATTCACGCCCGCGCGCACGCACGGCCGCACACACGCACACACGCACGCACGCACGCCCGCACGCCCGCACGCCCGCACGCCCGCACGCCCGCACGCCCGCACGCCTGCACGCCCGCACGCCCGCACGCCCGCACGCGCGCGCACACCCACACACACACACACACGCAAACCTCACAATGCCTCTCCTGGTCACAGCAGTCTTCATCGCCTTCATGGTCTTGGGGTCTTTGGTTCCTTCATGGGAGCCTTGTCCAGAGCAAAGAGGAACAACGACAAACTACGCAGCTAGCTTCGGGGCTGAGACGCTCATCAACTGGCCAACCATCACATGACCTCGCAACAATCCATGCAAATGTGGGAGGCAACATTCCAAACTTAGGGAAGCGTCAGCCGCTCATTACGCAGAAGATTGCGCCGCATGTTCCCTCTCAAAGAATGATATGGCGGGTTGCCCTGAAGGACGCACATGCCAAAATCAAATCAATCAAACAAACACAACCAACCAAACAATCAAACAAACAACAACCAAACAAACAGCCAAGCCATCAAGCAAACAAACAAAACCAACATGCATGCTGCATACCAGCCAATACCAGCTAGGCAAACTCATCGCTTAGTACACGAGTAACCGTGCGGGCCCAGCCTGCTCGGCCGAAGGCCGCAGGTGTGCGGCCAGCACCTCGCGCGAGAAGCCCCCACGTCACCCTGGCGACCCCGCAACTCGCATATACCTCACCCAGAGCCCATCATGGTTGACGTTGGGTTTGGGGAGCAAAAAAATAAATTTTAGCAGTTAAGTGAGGATTTCAACCACTAAACCACAATAAGCAAAAATGTAAAATGTTTCCCAACGACAACCATGCCATGAGCCCCAGACCCACAGGGGGGCATGCAGCAAGCGGTCTCTGTGACATCAGATTTCAGGGGTTCACTGCTTCACTTTTTGTTGACTGTTCTGAGGATTGAACAAAACAAAGGAATCCATGGCGTCGTGGTGGGACGTCTCAGTGAGATGCCACAATAAATTTTGAACATGGCCAAGCCATGTCTGACGAACAAAGGAGGCCAAGTCGGGTGATCAATCTGGACAACTGTATCTCCATCCAGAAAAAAAAAAACGCCACATATTCCACAGAGAAGAGCAGGCAGTGCACATTCAAGATATGAGGATCGGGAGCTGGGACTTGCAGACTTGTCCGACGTGCTGGAACCGTCATTGCCCACCATGCCAACATGCATCACCTGCCAAGAAGCTTGGGAGTGATGACAAGTCCTGTTTTCGGGTGCGGCCAGCAATCACACCAACTTCTGAAACCAATCAAATCAAGCAAACCAACTTCTGAACCCAATCAAATCAAGCAAACCAACTTCTGAAACCAATCAACCTAAACAAGAAGACGACCTTCAACGTGCGAACCTCCGGGTTTTGACACGAAATCCCTATGAAGCGCCTTGCTGTAGCACTGCACGTCCAGCTCCAGGCGAGCAGCGCAGGCGCGCTGCAGCCAGGCCTGACATCCAAATGGTAGACCGCTTGGATGGGTTTTACAGGGAAACCAAAACGAACCAACCCATTTTTAGGGGGTCCTTTTTGAGAACACCTTCATGGATCAACATGAAACTATATATGAACAATGCTTGTGGCACTGACCCTTGACATGATGACCCCGGCGTGACTACTTGAAGGCGACGACCCTCCACGAGGAAGCGCATGCGAGGACAATGTCCGTTGACTTTGCCACGGCGGCTGAAAAGTTATCCCTAAGGAGTCAAGTACATTCTAATGAAGTACTGACCCCTCCAACACCATCCTCTGAGGGGTACTGGGACTGTCTGGGTATTCGGGCCACGGCCAAGAGGGTGCTGTACGCCATGCACTGCACGTTCCAACACTGAAAGGCTGAGGCAAGACTTGCGAGTACCCAAACTCCTACCCTCCCACCAATTAACATGTGACCGGACTCGGAGTCGGGATCTCCTGGAAAAGGATGTTCCTCTTCAAAGAACCTCCTGGTGGTAAAATGTAGAAAGCCGGCAACCTGTCGTCGGCCTGCGCTTTGCGGATTCTGACGAACCCAGTCTGAAAGGTGATTTTTCAGGGAGCACAGCACCCATTACTATGGTCAAATCTGCGACGCATCCTGTGCAAAGGGTCCATTTTCCCACCCCCTTGAGGCCTTTCGCATCAGATTCTTAGTAAGCCCTGGCTTGTGGGAGAGCCTCCAGACTCGAATGCTTCGCGGCCCACGCCGGAACGCCTGCGCAGCTGCCGCGTTGCCCTCCATGGCACGATTGCATGACCTCGATAAAAAAACGCAACTTAAAACTAAGATGCGAAAGATGGAACCCCGCAAGCCCCAGTGCTCGGAGTCTCCAAAATATGGGATCCATGTTGGCTTGGGAGTATACCACTGTGACAAAGCCAAGACATGCACTGGAACCAAACACATGAAAGGCTGTCCTGAACTGAAGCACTTTTTACACATTCCAATTTTTCAAGCAAAGGGTTTTAGCGGGTGAAATCTGCCGAACAACACAACTGGAAAGCACAATGATCACAGCGCTGGCAGGATGAGGGGTGCGCCAGTACGGTGAATTGGGCACTGTACTTGTTTGCCCTAGAAAGCGAGAACATGGCCGATTTACACGAGTCAAGCTGTGCCAAGTAGTTGTGGACACCAAGTAGTTCTGGACACCAAGTAGTTGTGGACACCAAGTAGTTCTGGACACCAAGTGGTTGTGGACAAAATCCTGCACCATGAAACGCTACGAACCTACCAAGCAGTGGATCAATGTCGCTGGCACCGTCTCCAAAGGGCCATCTTGACACCTTCGGAACATGCCAAAAGCCAAGGCTGGAGCATCAAGACAAAAGGCGTCAGCTCCTTCTCACTGTCCTCTGAAGCGATGGAAAATGCCAAGTTCAAAAACTGGGGGAGTCTCTTGGGTAAAGATTTTCCAGGCGCCATCTGTTTGCGGCAACTGTTTGCGTTTTGAGTCACACAGCCGAGTGGGATTGCGATGCCCTAGCCCAGATGTAGAACCATTGCCCCGGGTCTGAAAAGGGACCAAGCGACACTTTATAAAGTCACTTGTACAGCCAGAACCTTCCAACAAATATATACCACTTGGGTTCGAGTTGTTTTGATGAAGCCTTGCAGGTAACGAGTGAGATGTGTTGAGTGTGACTAAGAATCACATATCCTACCCCTGAGTTGATCAGTTGATCCGGTTTTTTGTTTATTCTCGCGCTGGCAAAGGGGTAGCTCTCCTTTGCCAAGTGTTTTCTTTGAGCAAAAAAAACAAGATTGGCTTCAAATGAAACGGAAGATGTGATAACACAAGGGTCTTTTAGTTGCAGTCCCAACATGCGGCATACGCTTTGACAGCCCTGTTTCTGATAGGAACGCACGCATGAGGGTGCGAGTGTTTGTCCAGTAGCCGTTTCAGGGAGCCCTAGCAAGAACTGAGCTCCCTCCACTCCCAAAAGGAAACTCGCCTCATTTGCAACGAGAAAGGGGAGACACAGGTAAACCGCTTACTGGCGCCAAATTGGTGACAGTAAGCAACATCAACTGGAGTCTATTCGCCTGCACGTGCAGAATCCAACATCTCTGTAGACAAACGAAACCGCCTTCGGAATCCATTGGAAAGGCCGCGTTCAGCGACCATCCTGGACGAGACAAAGTAACCAAGCAACTAAGCAACCAAGCAACCAAGCAACCAAGCAACCAAGCAACTAAGCACCCTAGCAACCAAGCAAACAAGCAAACAAGCAAACAAGCAACCAAGCAACGAAGCAACCAAGCAACCAAGCAACCTAGCAATCAAGCAACCAAGCAACTAAGCAAACAAGCAACCAAGCAACCAAGCAACTAAGCAACCAGGCAAACAAGCAACTAAGCAACCAAGCAACCAAGCAACCAAGCAACCAAGCAACTAAGCAACCAGGCAACCAAGCAACTAAGCAACCAAGCAACCTAGCAACCTAGCAACCAAGAAAACAAGCAACCAAGCAAACAAGCAACCAAGCAACCAAGCAACCAAGCAACCAAGCAACCTAGCAACCAAGCAACCAAGCAACCAAGCAACCAAGCAACCAAGCAACTAAGCACCCTAGCAACCTAGCAACCAAGCAAACAAGCAAACAAGCAAACAAGCAACCAAGCAACCTAGCAATCAAGCAACCAAGCAACTAAGCAAACAAGCAACCAAGCAACCAAGCAACTAAGCAACCAGGCAAACAAGCAACTAAGCAACCAAGCAACCAAGCAACCAAGCAACCAAGCAACTAAGAAAACAAGCAACCAAGCAACCAAGCAACCAAGCAACCAAGCAACCAAGCAACCAAGCAACTAAGCACCCTAGCAACCAAGCAAACAAGCAAACAAGCAAACAAGCAACCAAGCAACGAAGCAACCAAGCAACCAAGCAACCTAGCAATCAAGCAACCAAGCAACTAAGCAAACAAGCAACCAAGCAACCAAGCAACTGAAGTTATGACTCTAATTGCAGGGGTTCTCAAAAAATCGGTCCCCTTGGTATCCGCCACGGTTCAGTGTCAGAACCCTTTTCACTCGGCGCTCTCCTCGAGCTTGGCGAGCCAGGGCTCCAGGTCGCCGTTCCGCTTGGCCTCGAGGGTTTGGGCGCCAGGTGGTTTCAGCGGAGTGGACCAAATAATAAGGGTACCGTTTCTTTTTGCTGTAGAAAACCCTCCCGTAAAAAAGAAACGGTAAAATTGCACTGGGGGACCTAGATCCCCTCAAAACTTGGCGGGCAACTTCCTGCAGCTGGGACGGATGAATGATGAAACCAGTGGGGTTCAAAACAGCCAAGCCTTCGGGGATAGGGTACAAAAAGGCGATCACCCAATTTGGGATCCATGTTGCAGCTGCTCATTGATTTTCTCCAAACGGATTCCACTCTCAGCTCTCATTGGCCACCAATTTCTATGGAACCCTCCCCTCAAAAATGCTTGGTGGATTCCCATTGGTGGATAAACTCCCTGCAGGCCCGCCAAAGGATCCCCCGCTTGAAATTCACTCCCATTCGAGTGCCCAAAACCCATTGTCTTTTGGCTATACCAAGATGGTCATAAAATCTGATATGCCTGGATATAGTCCAAATCAAAGAATGCAATAGACCCTCCATGGAAATGGCCAAGGGGCGGGTTCGGCGCTCATTTGGGCGTGTCTCCATCCGCGGGCCCACAAACCTAAATCAAAAGGGACCAAAGTGACACCCTCAAAAGAACACCCCAAACGAGTCTTCATTGGCTGTCTTTGTATTGCTTCCACTCATCGCTAGCAATGTGGTGGATGTTAGTTGCTGCGTGGCTTAAGCCGTCCTTTGACACATATGATCCTTTGAACCATTTAATGTCGACCACTGTAAAAAAACACCCACCTTTACTGAAGGAGGGTCCTCTTTAACGGGTACTCCTTTCTCAAGGGAACCCAATGAGGTATCATCAGGGGTCAGGATTAGCCTAAGCCAGTCACCACAGTTTGGCACCTAAATTCCAGGCGATGGTGGTTCACAAGTCTATCCGACGGTCGTATGGTTCTGGACGGAGAGCGGCTGGCAACCGCACGGAAGTGCGCGCCTGGTTCTCACAAATCGCCCTGTAGATGTCCTGTTCGGCTACAAGCCAACGCTCGCTTGACTCGTTTGCGAGGATTCCCTTGCCGTGGTTTTAGTCTTGCTGCTGGGCCCAGCATGCGGACCTTTGAGCAGTACGATAAGTGGCCATGTCTAGCAAAAGCATCCTGAGTTTAGTTTCGGCACAGCACCTGTAGCAACGTCGCCATAGTGCCCTAAATGGTGGGCAAAGTATGAAGGTCCAAAAAAGTTGTCATGAATGTTTGTGTGTGTGTGTCTTGTTTGTTTGTTTGTTTGCTTGCTTGCTTGATTGACTGCAACATAATGCAACTTATTGGCTGACCGTCTCGGGAGTGCAATGGTGCGGGTTGCTTCCACAGCTGCATGATCACTGGATGAAAGTGTCCAAAATGCCCTCTGGCAGTCATGATTCTGACAACCCAAGTAAAGCATTTTCCAAACACGTAAGGCTTCAGGAACTGGAATGTCAGAGATCTAACAAGAAATGCCTGCAACCTCTCAGGGATCTTGGTGTGTTCCTGCACACGCATGAGTGTGTTGACCGCACGGATGCCAAATATCTGGTATCACCCATCAGGATCGTTCACTTCCGGCATGCCATCTCAGGAGCCCATGATGCGTCCGGTTTCAAACCATACATGATACTGCTCAAGGCTGCCTTCGTGGCTGCCTTCGTGGCCCTGCGGAAGCATGCCTAGCTCCGAACAAGTGAGCTTAGAATAGGGGAACCCTCCCAACCAAATAAGTTGGGTGAGAGGTCAGGCACCAATTGCTGGGGCACCCTCCCGATGCGCATTGGCGCGACTTGGCGGATTCCCGGGCTCCAATGTGAGGCCAAGTCGCGCTGCTGGGAGTGTAGCCGGAAGAGACCTAAGCAAGGGGGTTGACTGAGAGCTTCTTTTTTTGGGTAGTGGGGGAAAATGAAGGGAGATGAGTGCCAGGAAATGGTAGCGCCCCATGTCCAAGCAAACAATCCACTGAGAGGTAATCTTGCCAATTCTCTATTGGGGGTTGCTGATGTTCTCCAGCATTTTGCAGCGCTCCTGCTTCACCTCAATGGAAGGCAACGAAGTCCTCTTGTGACCATGCCACAAGCTTGCCAAACCCGAGGGGAACAATATGACTCTATGACGTTAGGTGGATGGTGGGGAGATCAAGCTTAAAGTTCTGGAACCTCAAAAGGCAGTGGACCCTTTCTTTTGTCCATAGAACCACTTGAAGAAGCCGCACCCTGGGACATAACCATCCCCTTTGCTCAAAAGCAGGTTGCCCCGTGGCCGTCTTACCAGCAGCAGGCAGGCAGGTAGCTCGAGGCCTAAGGCTGGCACCATGATGTCCACAAGGCCAGCGGCCGTGTGCAGCAAGCCCAGCACACCTCGCTGCGACCCCAGGAAGGGACAACTCTAAGAACCTGGAGGCAGCCATCCTTGCAAGGCCGTGTGCGTCGCATTCTCAAACAACAATGATGCAGGGCGCCACGACAAGGGACGCGCATCTCACGTTGCACCAGCTATAAGCGAGCATTCTGGGATGGTTCCTTTTGTGGCCAAAAAGGAAGCCGACGACGTCTGTTCGATAAACCCAATTGGAGACAAAGCATGAGAAGTATCATAAGGCTTTGACATGTGTAAACAAAGAACACCTGTTCAGCTGTGAGATCTGTATAGGTGCAGCTCAAGGTCGAGGGGGTATGGCTCAAAGGAGCCTTTGTGCTCCGATACTGCTCTGTCGATTCGACTGGATTTCGGCTTCTCCGGCAACATGGGAATGGAGCGCATGAAAAACCACAACTTAACTAGGTCCTCCAGTAGAGAGGTTACAATCAGGGTACCCCTTTTTCTGTAGTCTATTTTAGTAGGGGAACCTCCCCCAAAAAAGTTGGTAAAAGGGCACTACTGGGGGACCTAGTTATTGAGCCCTGGGGTCATAAGACTTTTCGCTGTTCGCTCCGCAAATGCATCGAGACCCCATCCCGTGGCCGTCTGAGAATTTGGCAGCAGCTCATGATGACGCTGCGAAAGACAGATGCCTGGCATGAGACTCCCATGGACGTCATGGGGTTCATTCAAGGAACAAAGCTGCCCTCTAAATGGTGGTTTGACGGGGGAGAGGGGGGACAAAAACAAACGTGTTGAATTGAATGGACCAAACAATCGTAACTTTGTGAGTCCCTAAACATTTGTTGACTTCAACGGACCAGACTTGGCGTCAATGCTGACAAGGACAGGGCACCTCTGAAGAGAGGCCAACACTTGAGTGGAAAAGCCGGTCAGCTTGCCAATGCGCGACTAAAGCTTCCAACAGAATGTGTCTGAATCAGGATTGCTCTTGGTTGACGTTGGAAGGGGAGCAAACATTTAAGATTTAGCAGTTCCGTGGGGATTTCTCACTACACCATAATAAGCAAACATGTAAAATGCTTCTCAACAACAACCATGTGCTAGCCAGTGCCGTCAAAGTCTGCACATTACACTTGACCATTGTCGACACCTGGGTCACTCCTGGCGAATGTGAATGGCACTGCTATCAAAAGGTCTCCATGACCACTAGAAAGGCTCAATTTCCCATTGGAATGCATCGGAAGAGTCAGTGACATCACAAGAACAGTACTTGCGGAATGTTGGAACACTGGAACGCCTGAGAATCCAAACCAGGTGAGCTCGAATGGGTGCTTTTTTCCGAAAAAAGGATACTCCTAAAAATGGCTTCCGATACATATGATGTATCTTATCTCATTTCCCTTGGTGCGCTAGAAAAACCAAGCGGCTCCCCCAGCAGCTCCCCGACCAAAACTGGGCCTGGGGCTTGAGGTTCATCTTGGCAGCACTCTGCAAGAGCCTCGCGGCCGACTCAGGGTTCTGCACCTGGGCGAGCTGAGTTGATTGGACCATCAGGACACATGCCGTGGTGTCCCCTTTTGTTTCGGTTTGTTCTCTTGAGAGCGGCCTTTTCTCAAAGTGGACTAGAAAGGCCATGGTATGCCTACTAGCTCCACTCACCAACCAAGAGCAGGACACCCTCACCATTCAGGGAGTGGCATGGTGAGGCCAGCCGATCCAGAACCAGAGGCTGGTTGCAAGCCTGGTTGGCACAGATCAAAAGGGGCCATAAAAGGGGAGTCGTCACCGGGGCTGCGGACCCAGTGACATGGAGGTGGATCGTGGAGAACACCAAAAAAGAAAAGGCAAAGGAAAAGGAAAGAGCAAAGGCAAGTACGACGGCAAGGGCAACCACCATGACAACTACCAGCAACCCCAATGTCGGTCGCTAGAATTTCCCCCAAAACGGGCGAGAAATTCTGGTCTTCTGCAGGTCGAGCGGCTCGGATCTCTCGTAGCACCTCCTGGCATGTGAATTTGAAATGCACATACGCGGGACTTGGGTTCCACAACAAGGGTTGTCCTCTGGCCACAGTTTTCGGGACGAGGCTGGCGCACAAAGAGAAATAGATCCGACACTTTTCTCAGGCCTTCCAGAACTAAATCATGGAGATAGAAGCTAAAACGCTGATGCGCTTTGGTGGGCCTGCCTGTTCATTGCAAATGAAATAGCGCTATCCATTGCCCCCCTATGTCGTGCCCATGAAGCCTGCCAGCACTGTCCACCCAGCCCTCGGTAAACGATCATTCCCAATCCGAATCAGTGCGATGTGACGAACAACGCAAGCTGCCACGTGTTGACTGAGAAACAAAAAATACTATGACTCTCATCCAGGTACAGTAAGCCGGCAAGCAGAGCCACCGTGCGCTGGCCACGCTTTCATGTGTCCAGACTCTTTTGCCCATTCTGGGGCTGTGGAATGTCACCTAGCCCCAGCCCTTGGGACTACTGCTGTGGCTGTCCAATGCCAGCAAATGCTTTCGCCAGGCATGGCGTTTCTTGCCAGCCCAGCTTCCCACGCCTGGCCCTGGCGTAAGAACGGAGATCAAAGGACGCCTCTAAACTCAAAATCGAGTAGCCTCTGGCGGAGCCGCGCACCGCGAAGCGTTTGCAATCAACCAATTCCTTCCAGTGGTCGATGACTGCGTTCTATATATGGTCAGAATTCAGCACATTCTCTCCTGCCCAGACTGAAAGGCGTTTTGGGACCATGACGAAGTGTTGCCAAACTCCACAGGTAACTTCACAGTTACCAGGTCGATTTGCTGACATCCGAGTCTCAACTCAAACGAACGTAGCGCAACAGGGCATCATGTCCCTTGTGCCTTCACAGGTTGAGGAAGCCCCAATGCCAGGTAGCTTCAACGATGGATTGAGCCTCATGGCAAGTGTTCTTCATGATTCTGCCATTCTGACACTTGGTTGTAATCTAGTTGCTGTGTGGGATGAGTTTGAAGGTGCGTAGCCACACGTACGATGACCTGTCTCTGCCCCTGTCTCCTCGTAGGCTTTCTCATCTGGGGGCAATCGCGACTGCCAAGCCTCAGGAAGGCAATTGCTCTGTAGAACAAGGCAGCAATATTGCTGTTCCTACAGAAGGTACGTTACGCTCCATGAGTGGACAGTGGACACCACAACGTGAAACCTTGGAAGCTACTTCAACTCACTTCCCGAGTGGATGGCCCACAAAAAGTCCAAACTTTTTCTGTGTGCCACTAAAAAGGTATTCCCAAAAAGAACAAAGTCCAGGAACTCAAGACGTGAGTCTAATATATCATGGCATCAAGGAAGACTTTGCCCAGGATTCATGGTTTGCGACTTGCACCTGTAAATGGCGTCTATCGGTCTTGGAGCCTATCATAGTCTTGCTTGTGAACATACTATTTTTCCTCCAATGAGCTTGAACCAGCTCTCATCAGCAGGTGAAAGGACACACGCTCTCCCGCTCCGCAGCCATCACAAGCGCTTGGGAACAGAACAGCACGCGCTTGAAGCCTCAGTTGGATTCTTCGAACCCAATATCCACCGAATTGATCGCCGCCGTTGTCGGCTCGACTCTTAGACTTGACTGACGCAGAGTGCGTACGGATCTCCGGGGCCAACCACTCAACATGTTTAAACCACTATCTTTTTCAACCCATCCCTGTTGGGTTCCCTTTGATCTTCAAGAACCATTTCTGAGGCAAGCTCTGCTTTGCCCCAACCCCAGTTTGAGACTTCCAGCGAACTGCCGCCGCCTTACGCAACGATTGGGGCGGGAAGTGTGTGCAACATGAAACTAAAGTTGCCCATCCCGATAGCCAGAAAGGTTGCGTGGACCCTTCGGGCTTCGGGGGTTGCCTTTTTGGTTTGTCTTCAACACCTTTTCCTCTGCCAAATATTCCAGCAAACCAGGAGTCTTTCCAAACCTCGCAAGATTCGCTGCACCCACATGGTCGGCAAGAAAGAGACCTTTCCGCCCATCTGGGAGCCGGGAAGCAGAGCATGGCCCAAGCTTGCGATACCAACACTGGGAGGGACTCATCAACTAGGTCAAAAGAGAGGTTAGAACAAGGGTACCAACTTTTTTCTGTAGTCTATTTTAGTAGGGGAACCCTCCCCCAAAACAGGGGTGAGAAAGGGCACCTAGCCGGGGGACCTAGTCAAACTTCCCCATGGACTTCGCCCACTTCAGTAGCGAACCCCCCCCCCCCCCGCCCAAAAAACAACACACACACCCCTTAAATTTGGCTCGTGCGCGGACCGGGGCGCTTTGGAATGAACTGGGCCCCCCGGCATTCTGCAGCCACCGCAAGGCCCAGGCCCAGGAAGGGCAGCCTCTCGACTTAAGCCGCGCCACAGGTTTTTCATCGAACCCACAGCCCCGACCCCCGCATTTTCCCACGAAGTACTACCCCCCCTGTTCACGTTGCCATGGCCACTGAACAGGGGGAGCCTCCAAGAGGAAATGGAACTTCCAAGTGCCTCCCCACAGATGCCATGGTGGGAGGAAGGGTATCCATGGTTGAATACAACAACGGGCAGATTCTGGCTTACTTTTTAATGGGCCGCATGCAACTTGACAATGCTATAGTTTGTGCCCTGGTAAGTGACATGCCCTTGTGGAACCATATGCCTGAATATTTGCCGTTGTCTGGGAACAGTTTCCCTGCGCTCTTCTTATTAATTTCTATTTGCCCCTATGCCAGCACAGCAAAGCATCCCTTTTGGGCTTGCCAGTAAAGAACGGAAAGCCAGTTGATGGTCAAATACAGACCCAACAAACAACCAATGATACGTGGTACTTCCATATACTTCCAAATTGATGTGTTGCTGTCTACGCACACGTAGCGATGACATATTGACATCAGACATCCTCACCCACAAGTTGGCATGCAGACTCTCTTCACATTGGACATGTGCTTGTGACTTGTTGTACCGTTTGAACTCCGTTTGATACGTGTCAACAAAATATGTATGCGTGCATCAACACAAGGGAAACACACAGCAAGACTGTTCTTGCAGGGCAGCTATAAAGAGTTGGCGGCCAGGCGTCCAAAGACCCAAACGCCGCTTGCCTTGCCAAAGGCCTTCTTGCCGCATCCATCGGACCTGGGAAGGGCCCGCAAAGCCTCAACATGGCAAGCCTCCGATAGGTAAAACTCCCGGTTTTGGCCAACTCG